CGTTAGGAAGAACAACCTTCAGAACACGGCCAAAGAGCCCGAAAAACCCACAACAACCATTAAATCCCGGCCGTGAAAGCCTTCGCGAATACAAATATGTCTTGCTTGCTTAGGGGAGGCATGCATAACCCCCACTTGTAAAATCTGTCTGACTTTCTCCAGTCAAAGCTAGAGAAATGATCATATCAGATTCAAGTATTTTCTTTTTGAGAAGACACTTTTGGTAACAGTATCCCAGAACTGATTCAGTTTGTGAATTCACCTATTTGTGAATCACCTGGAGTTCTGAAAGTCCTTAGGAAGTGTGCCGCTTATACTGAATACTGCCCCAGAGTGCTTTAAGCATTCTGGGGGCAGTTTACAATTTAATTACAATTTAGTTATCTGGGCTTCACATTTCCCCCACTCTCCGGCAAACTGGGTACTTAATTTATCAACTTCAGAAGGATAGAATGCTGAGCCAACCTTGATCCAGCTACCTGAGCCTAGGATCAAACTCAGATCATGAGCAGAGTCTTTACTACAATAGTGCAGTTTAACCACTGCTCCACAGGGGTCCTAATACTAGTTAATCCATCACATCTGCCACAACAGCATCAATGGTGGATCTACCAACAAGGCAGGCATTAATGCTGTTGTCAGTGCTTCTGTTGACAGGTCTCCTTGGTACTGACCCCATAGATATGGAAGACTAAGGTACACAAATTGAAGGGAACAGAGAAAACAGAATTGCCGAAAAAAAGTGGAACATGCTGCCTTGATCTTACTTCAAAATGAGGAGGTGCATGCTATTTTTGTCAAACTGTGGTTGCAAACATTGAGCCTCTTGGTCCCCCTATTCAATGGCCCATATCACAGGTAAAATAGAGAAGATGCCAGTTTGGCTGTACTGGCCTAGCAATATGCACCCAAGTGTCCTGGCTCTGCTCCTTCTATATACATTATGCTGGTTATCACCGTTATACTCAAGCAGTAGCACCACTCTCATATTGTTCATTTAGAGGGTTGCAAGAGTGTGGTATATATTACTCTCTACTGCATTCATGGGTCAGGTCTCCATATTCTTAAGATCAGCTGTACTCTCTCATACACTATGGTTGCAAACAAAGCTCACCAAGCCAGTATTCTTATGGTAATTACACTATAAGACAAGGAACATCACATCAATAAGATTTAGCACTTGTACAGTGGTGCCCCACATAGCGACGTTAATCCGTTCCGGATTAATCGTCGCTATGCAAAAACATCGCTAAACAGATAAAAAACCCCAATATGGGGCCCCAAACTCAGCGTTCAGCAAAGTTCCTCCATAGCGCCGCCATTTTCGCGCCCTCGGTAAGCAAGGGCAGGGCACGAAAATGGTTGTGGTGGCCATTTGGGGCGTGTGGTGGTCATTTTGGAACCGCCGATCAGCTGTTTAAAAAACATCGCAATGCGAAGATCGGTAAGCGAAACGCTTACCGATCATCGCAATGCGATGTTTTGCCATTGAAAACATCGCAGTGCGATTGCATTAGCGATCTGAAAAAACAGATCGCTATGCGGATTCGTCGTTAAACGGTGCGCTCGTTAAGCGAGGCACCACTGCACAATGAAAATGGCCACAATATTGTCTCACACACTTTGACATCCATCTTTCTATTTCGTCCATTAGCCTCCACAGTTCCTCATTCAACATCTTCCTTTGAACTGAGTAATTGTGGCCTCTTTCAGTGGTAAGAAAATACCATTTCCTCCCCAGATAAAGAGTAACAGTGCCTGGACATACTTGGCTGCAAGTTCAATTCCAGTGCACCAGGCCTCATGACAACTAATCATCAGTACCTGTGATATCAGATGATTACAGCACTTTTGTTTAGACACAGGGAAGATGGCCTGGCAGCAAATTAATTCAACTTGCCAGGTGTCCAGATGTTCAGCTAAAACACTTGTAGGAGCGTTTACATTGTGCTGTCATTCTTGGCTCCAGTGCACCATTCTGTCACAAGTAGAGAGAAAGTGGCAGGTATCCTTCAATGGCCAAGACCCATTTTCTTGCAAAATAGATAAGTCTGATTTTTCCTTGCACTGGCCAATATAGCCATGGTACCAGTTCCTCTGTACTTCAGCAACCATAAATGGTTGTCTTCTTCATACCAACCCAGGTAGTCTTTACCATCCTCTTTGAAATACAAACCTGCTAAAAACAAAGATTTTGACTCTCAGATTTCCATAGGCACTATCGTGCAGTCCGCAGCAGATCGGTGAGTGGACTGTCCGGCTCCGGGGGCTGGACCCTCATTGATGCCACTTGTGCGGGGATATTCGTATACAAATACCCCCATCTCTAGTTGGCAGTTCAAATCCACGCAACAGGATGAGCTCCTGCCAGCCTAGCAGCTTGAAGGCATGTAAATGCGAGTAGATAGGTCAGAGAGTTCCATGTCAGATCATGCTGGCCACATGACCATGGAAAGGGTCTACAGACAAACACTGGCTCTTTGGCTTACAAACGGTGATGAGCACTGCACCTATAGTCTGGCACAACTGGACTTAATTGTCAATGGGAATCTTTATCTTTACCTGTATTTGAAAATAGTATGGTGAAATCTAGTATTTGCTGTGGAAGAACAAATAACAGTTTGCTCTCCCTTAAATGGGTTATAGCCTTAAAACAGTTCTGCTTGCCCAAATTGATTAGAAAGACGATTAAAATTCCAAGCATGAAGGGATTTTTTTTCTAATGCAAAATGGTAATATAAATGAAAATATTATCTGCTAGCTAGCCTGTTTATCTAGAACTCAAAATGTGATCTAAGTTTTGAAGTATAGTTAAGTTGTTAGCCCTCTGAATTGTGTGTGAGGAAGGGTGAATTATAAATAAACTGAATAAATATGTTTTTGAAATACTAGAGTTGTGATGAAAATTGGTTTATATTTAGGTGCCAGTGGCATGAAGAAAATGATGTGCTATACTGTGCTCTGGCTGCTTGCAAGAAGATTGCGTGAGTATAAAATACAGTGGGCATTTTAGAATGTTTTTCATACCTTTAGAAAAGAGGAAAGTAGTTTCCTGGGCTTCACATTAATCCTGCTCCCACGTAGTGGATTGACATGGTGGCTTGGATAATCTTGTCTGTCTTGAACACTTTGCCTGTGTGTTCTGGTGAATGTTCTGTAGTCAGCTGTTTGTTCACTCCAATTGAATGGACGGCAGGCTTTGTGTTCTTGTAGTGTATTTGCTACTGCGGCAAGTGCAAAATTTGAAATATCAAAGCTCTTAGGATTTCAGTTTAAGTTTTCAAGTGCCATTAGACAAACTTCAGTTTTGTATTGTCACTAAAAATGTCTTCATTTTTGTGGTGAGGTATTCCTTACATTTATGTGTTTACTTAGTACATTTTTGTGCTGTCTTTCTTCCAGTGAAGTTATAGTTTATCACACAGATAAAATTTGGATTATTTCACTATATCCATAACAGCCATGTGTGATACAAGAGATAGCATATTTTGTATCTTTATATTATTAGAGCAATTCAGTAAATGTTCCTCTAGCTTGAGCCTATTACATTTCAAAATCATGCCCACTTCCTATTGCATTTTATCTGCTTATTAAAAATCATCATCACCATCAGAACTGCAGAGCTGGAACAGACCCTATGGATTATTGAATCCAGCCCCTGTCCAGGAGGCACAGTGGGGAATTGAACTTCCAACGTCTAGCTCCGCAGCCTAAGCCACTCAGCTATCTCTAGTGCAAATAGGCCTTGCTTTCTGTCTGTAGCAGAGGAAATGTTTCAGGCCCCAGTTTCTGTAGATTACAGCTGTTGCTGGAAGAAGGTGCCAACAGATGTAGATGTCTACCCTGTTTCCCTGAAAATAAGACCTAACCTGAAAATAAGCCCTAGTATGATTTTTCAGGATGCTCATAATATAAGCCCTACCCCAAAAATAAACCCTAGTTAAGTGAAAGCTGTCCCTCTACCATTGTGCAGGATTGTGCAGCAACCAGAAGATGACATGACTATTTGAATAAATGTACATTGTTGTACATGGAAAAAAAAGCATCCCCTGAAAATAAGTCCTACTGCTTTTATTGGAGCAAAATTTAATATAAGACCGTGTCTTATTTTCAGGGAAAGACAGTAGAAATCTATAGCCAGGATCCTCCTCCTCCTGTACTTTTCCTGGCAAAGGTCTTGTTACTGTGTATCATGATCTTAGGGCATTAAAGGTACTCCACCCTCCACATATATATTGGTATGTTAGTGTACACTGGGATATTTCTTTTCAATATGTGAAAGTGATTGTGCAGTTTTTGTTTTAGTGTTTTTTCCCCTTTTTGTTATAGATATTCCATCAGCAATTCTCTAGCTAGTATGTATAATATTCAGTTAACGGCATCTCATTTACCCTTGCATGAGATGGGCTCCAAGAACACAGTGAATCCTAAGATGATAGTACTGGATGCCAGACGTTTCCAGGTTAATCTTTTAATTTAAGCTTGCTTTTACTTAGATTTTTGTTCTATTTTCCATCTTGATCAATACTAACATTGTCAATTTAATTCATGCTTTTAATTGTTTTATGAATAATTTTATTGTTAGCCGCCCTGAGTAGCCATAGTCTAGAAGGAAAGGATAAAAATCTAATAAATAAATATTTTTTAAAAAAGTTATGCTATCTTTCCAATTTGATCCCCACCAGATGTTTTAAACTAAAATTTCTATCATTCTTAACCATTGGCCATGCTGGTTGAGTTTGATGGCAATGCAAGTCCAACATTTCTGCAGAGCAGAGATTGAAGAAGGCTGTTCTATAGTAATTGCTAAGCTTCCTGGAATATACTTAGAAATGTCTTAGCAGTAAAAGTGATTTTGTTTGTGTTTCCCATCAAGAGTCAGATGCCTGGTAAACAAATGATGCTATGATTGATGTTTGAAAATACTTGCATAAGCTGTAATATAAGAATCCTTTGCAAAAGCTTTGGTTTGACCAAGAGCTTAACAATGGTAGTTATAGAAATGGGAGTACTATTTAATGTTTCTTCTTTTCAGGTTAGAAGATTTTTAGATACTAGATACTAAATCCATTTCGCCTTTGGATGCAAAGAATAGGAGAGTAGCTAAACAGTGAATAAGTGAAAAATAGATGAATTTTTGTAATTCTGTTCAAAGCATGAATGTTTAGGTAATTTTTGTCTTTGAATTTCAGAAACTGAGCACTGAGTGGACAGGAAATGATAGGTACTTCGGATCTCTTAATGAGGATCACAGTTCCAGAACTTGTATTGGTGAGTGAAGCTTTAATTTTAAATACAGTGAAAATTGCATTTGCTGTTAAAATTCTTACTAATATATTTCACACCTGCATTACTTGGTATAAGTGAATATGCTTGTATACTCTAACCCTAATGCATCCTTTAACTGATGTTTTCTTCATCATAATCCCTGTGCATCACACATATGTGTTTATTCTACGTAGTCAAAGACATCTCAGAATTTTCTATGGCTAAAACAAAAGCAAAAATACTTAGATGGGAGACCTGTTCATGTCTGTTTAGGGATAAAAGGGTGGGGCTCCTGCCTCATCTTTATTTCCTTTCCATCTTCATGGACAGCAGCTTCAGTTAGGTTAGTTTATTTCCACTGCAAGAGTAATATGGGTTCCACTGACCCCTCCCTATCCCAGTGGTTGTTTTTTGTTTTGTTTTTTAAAGTTCCCTAGGCTCCGCTATGGATAGGGACCCACTTTACACTTCATTGAAATATATTTTAAAAGTCTCCCTTCCTCCTTGACTTCTGAATGTTAGAATACTGAGTGAGCACACAATGTGTGACAAAATGCCTCTGGAGCGTAATGTAGAAAAACATTGGTGGGAGATTATGTCATTGGTAAGTTTGCCTTGGCCAGATGAAGTTGTGGCTAAATTTGAGAAGAATCACAAAAAAAGGTGATGCAAAAAGGAGCTAGAAGTAAGGAGCTGCCATACTAAGTAATGCTTGCCTGCCTCATGCCATGGGAAACTAGTTGGTAATGCCTGCACAGTGTTTGTGTGGGTCTTGCTATTGTATTGACTTTGTCTATGTGACCTGTATGGGTGAAGCGTTATGGCCTGTGATGAAACTTCTTTTGGTATAAATAATTGTCTCTTACCTTGGCCCTGATTTTTTGGAGAAGTTCTTGAGGGTTCTGTAGGGCTTAATTTGGTTTCGTTCCAGAAACACAATTAGAAAAAAAATCCAAAAGGACTGGTAAAATGAAGGACCTGAGAATGAATGAGGCATGTACAGACAGCAAAAATTAGAAATGAATCAATCCCAAAAATCCTTCCCATGCCAATCCCAGACTGCAATGTGCAGGTCTGTGTAGAATGAAGTGTAAATACTGTATGTGGATTAAAAAATATTAATGGCATGATACGATGACTAAGAGTTTTTACAGCACAAGTATATGTTCATTTTAATATATAATACTTAATAATTTTGCCTTATTATGAATAGAGTGGTGCCCCGCTTAACGATTATCCTATTTAACAATGAATCCGCTTCACGATGTGTTTTTTTGCGATTGCTATCGCAAAACGATGATCGAATGGGGAAAATCTGCTTCCTGATGATCTGTTCCCTGCTTTGGGAATCGGTTTTTCGCTTTACGGCGATCAGAAAACAGCTGGTCGTCGGGTTTCAAAATGGCCACCTGCTGTTCAAAATGGCTCCCCACTGTGCTTAGGACGGATTCCTCGCATTACAGGCACCAGAAAATGGCCGCCCTATGGAGGATCTTCGCTGGACGCTGAGGTATTTCGCCCATTGGAACGCATTGAGTGGTTTTCAGTGCATTTCAATGGGCTTTTTACTTTCGCTTGACAACGACTTTGTTCTACAGCATTTTCGCTGGAACGAATTAATGTCATCAAGCGAGGCACCACTGTATGTTTGCAGAATAGGTTTGGCCAATCATAACTTGCTTAAATTGCCCCACACTCTTGTAATTCTTTAGCTGTTGCAAATTCTGCATATTTCCTAGTGTAGTGTATTAGCCACGTTTTGGCTCCAGAATCCTGCATTTAACATTTATTAGTACTTTTATATTTTAGAAATCTAAAATATGGCCTTTGAGATTTTGACGAATCATCATGATTCTGAAGTCTAAAGGTTTTTAAGTTTGTTTAAGTTTGTATAGTTTTTACTGAAAAGAAATTTGCATGTAGTTTTGGGGTGTTAGGATGGAACAAAATCTTGTGGTTTTGACTTTTTTGATATGAAATGCCATTCAGAATCAGTGGTATTAGTTGTAACTGCTTTCTTTTTATATTTGGCCGTTGGATATAAATAAGTTTTAAATTTCTCATGCAGTATGTGACATTTTGTCTAATTGGTATAGTCTGTATGCTGATGAACATACGTTGTTTGTGTAGGTGATCATCCTTCAGGAGTGAAGACTGTGGGTGAAACCACCATTCGGCGTGGAAGAGGAATTGCGCAATTTCTGGAAAGCATTTCCAAGCTGTCCAAGTAGCTAGAACTTGCACTGCAGTACCTCTCATCCAACAGTTTTACATTGTTTCTTGCCATATTAGAGAGTTTAAAAAAATATATTTGCTTTATCATTTATGCTCAGATATTTGTTATCCTTGATGAAAAGAAAGTAATCCTATTCCATTGTTCGAGAAACTCTTAAATATTTACAGAAAGAAATACTAAGTCAAGAGCAAGTTGAGAAGAATATTCTTTAATAGGTATGAATGTTCAATGGAAATAGTAGAAGACTGAGTACAGTGAAAGCAGTAGGACAGCTTTCTGAAACAGTTTCTGGATTATTGAAGACGGTTGTACATTATTCAGAGTCCAATGCTTATTTACACCTACAGTAGTGTGCCCCATTATTGGAAATCTTTGCTGCACCTGTAGCATAAGGAGCCTATTGTTGTAATTGTAATTTTTTTATATACAATTTATTCCCAGAGGACTTGGTGTGCCTTGGAATACACTCTTGCCCAAGGATCAAAGTTTTATTATCAGAAGATATTCAGATATTCTACAACAATAAAATCAAACAGGCAGTTATAGTAAAATAAGCAGTTAGGGAATCTTCATCCACTTGGCAGCTTGAAATGCCAAGGCACCACTAACCTAGTTATTTTTTATTTATTTATTAGACTTATATGCCGCCCATCTAGACAATGTCTACTCTGGGCGGCTCACAACAAATAGAATAAAACAATAGTAATATTACAACAATTTTACAACAGTTTCGCAACAATAGACAGTCATTCAAGATGGAAAGTAAAAGGGAAATTCAGTCACTTAATTTTTCCCCCTATTGTTTCAGAGTATACATTCATGTCATTGCTCTCTTTTTGGAATGCTTAAGTCTAAACCATGATAGATTACAATACCCTTATTTTCTTGCAAGTACTTAGTTTCATTTTCATTTTATATGTTTTACTGTAAATGTTCACGTTCCTAAATACAATGTTTTTGTGAAATATAGAGTACTGGAAATCCTTGTGTGTGCAGTGGTTTATCAGATTTGGAAATGAGGTTAAGCCATTTGAACAACAGGCACCCAGTGAAAAGCAGAACACATTTAAGTAGCCCAGTATACTGCTGGTATAATATAAAACAAGGATCTGTAATAGTGACAGAGGACCAGTATATGAAATGAATGGCTGCAATTTATTTATCTCAGACTGTTTTTTATTTGGTAACAATTCCAAGGAAAGGAGGTTTACACACAGGCAATCACATACACACACAATAATCCTTACTGTTTCCTAAAGCAATTACTTGCTATAAAAAAGGAAGCTGCCATTGGTACAGAGAATGTGAAAACCTTTCTCCCTGTTATCCTCAAATCCCCATCCTGATTGCTTCTACCCTGTTTCCCCGGAAATAAGACCTAACCTGAAAATAAACCCTAGTATGGTTTTTCAGGATGCTCTTAATATAAGCCCTACCCCAAAAATAAGCCCTAGTTAAGTGAAATCCTGCCCTCTACCACTGTGCAGCAAACAGAAGATGGCATGACGAAAATAAAAGATCCCCTGAAAAATAAGCCCTAATGCATTTTTGGAGCAAATATAATATAAGATCCTGTCTTATTTTCAGGGAAACACGGTAGTATATAGCTGTTATTTAACAAGACAAAAATATACATGGAACACGATCACACATTTTGCATCTTGTTTAATTTGGTCTTCATACAGTTTTAAATTGTTATTAAGAATAATTCAAACTGGAGAGAGGCGGGGCTTGTCGTGTTGCTGTCAGCAGCTCCTGGGAATAGCTCCCAGGAAAAGCTGGAACCACACGACCTGGGGGTCCTTCAGGACATGGGGAACCGAGGGGGAGGCTAGGAGAAGTCTACCTGAGCAGCTGGTGGGCAACGGTGGAGAAGGAAGCTGGGCAGCAACCTGGTATATCTTCCTTCTGAAGAGATCACCCGAGCACAGATTGGATGCGGGAGCCATTTTGGGCAGTTAACTGTGAATAACCCCCCACCCCCGCAGAAAAGGAGAACAAGTACAGCATTGAAAATGCACAACAATAAAGTTGAAGCCTTTGTTCTATGAATAGCTCTATAAAGCAGAAAGAGAAACTAGAGTGAAAATATTTGGCCGGAAAGAAGTGATCTTGCTTACCGGTCTGCTGCCTCAAAAGTGAAACTATCTTTTAAACAGCAGGCTGGTCAAGGCCAAAGTGAGAGAAGAAAAAAAAATCTGAGCCTGGAAAAATCCCAGGATGAATTAAATAACAGACGGGACTTAAAGCTCTTATCAATAAAAAAAACCTGGAAAAATAATAATGCCGTGCTCCTAGACTTCTCAACAGTACTAACAAAACTTGGGAACTGTATAATACTCCTGGAGTGGGGGAGCCTTGGGAGACACCCCCCCAGAGGTTATGGCTGTAAAGGATTATTTTATATATTGTGAAAAGATAACTGGGAAAATACCGTCGTTGAGGGTGGACTGTGGAACTGGGAAAACCAGGACTGGAGTTGTTGGTTAGATTTATGGTGGAAGGAGCATACAGTGAATTATAAGGACACCTGGAGGAAAGCTGAGTGACGGTCTCAATACACCTTCTATGTTATATTGGATTTGTTACAGGGGAAGCCAATGGAACTTTGCAATATCACACTGAGATTGGAATTGTACAAATATTGAGGTGGGATAGCCGGAAATTTTTCCTAGCTTTGTCTTGACGTCTGCAATGTTGTTTGTTTATCATATTGAGGCTAAAACTGTACAAATATTGAGGTTTGAAACCCTGTAATTCTTGTCAGCTTGGACTTTCTTCATTGGGTTGCATAGGACTGGTAGTAGAGGCTGAAAAACATGACATCATTGCTAGGATTTTAGAGAAGAAGGAACATTTTTTCCATGGTTGTACTTTAAACTGTTGGGCTAAAAGCTGGTTTAAATGGGGGGGGAACCGCATTGCGATGATCATGGGGAAGCGCTTCCCCACGATCATCCCAAAGGCCCCGTTGATCAGCTGTGTTGCGAGGGGTGGAGAGAGAGAGCCCTGAAGCACAGCTGATGGGCGCGGATTTGGGAAGCTGGCTTCCCTGCGATCTTTGCAAACAACCGCCCATCAGCTGTGCTTCGGGCTGCTCTTTCTCGGCCAGGGGGCAGCGGTGGCGCGGTGCCTCAGTCTCCCTGCCGTGGGTGGAGCTGCAAGGGGGGAGAGAGAGGGAGCGCGCACTGAAGTACAGCTGGCCCGCGGGGGTATGGGAAGCTCCAGCCCAGGCTGGGAGGGGAGAGAGAGCAGCCCAAAGCACAGTTAATGGGTAGTTGTTTGCAAAGATCCAGGGGAAGCCAGCTTCCCAAACCGCCGCCTCTGCGTGCTCTCTCCCTCT